CTCAGAGATTGAGACTCTCGTCAACTTTTTTACTCATTATTCACACCTACTTGATTGTATCGTAGGTGGAGGAGATGTTTTTATAAGATTTTATAAAAGAAAAAGTTATAAAATGTCATTAAGAATGAAATGTCCCAAAAACATCATTGACGTAGTGCAAAAAGTAGTTTTTTGGCTCAAGCAAACAAAACAAAATAGAGAGAAAAAAAAAAAAAAAAAAAAACAACTCGACTTAAGCCGAATTGAATGATAAAAAGAAAGTTACCGCATGGATGAATAAATGGAGCTGAGAAATAAATTAGACCAGCGGAAGAGCATTTGTAGGCTTGTGGGCCAGTGGAAGCGTGGGAGGAAGAGCGAGAGAAACTTTATCACACGATGCGAGTGGTGCATACTAATGATAGAATTGTCGGTCCACTGACGTTCTCGAGGCAGTCACGCGCGCGGTGGCAACAGCTCCTCGAGAATCGTGTAAGTCATTTTGAGACCTTCTCGCCTCTGGAGCAAAACTTTCCACCACCACCACTACGAGCAGCATCACTATTGAAAAAAAAAAAAAAAAAAAAAAAAAAAATGAGGCACGAAGAGAGCAAACAAAAATGTTTACCCGTTTACGTGCGCGTGTGCACGTGTGTACGAAAAATTAATGGACCCCTTCCATCTGATTTATCGTCCGTATGTGCTCATGCGTGCCCACACCAAGATGCTACTAAGATGCTGCACGTCGTAATAAAGTTTCGCTCTCTGAAGATCCAATAAATTTCCGTGCCTCTTGCAGAGGAGGCAGAATATGAAGGGACGAAAAAATACGAGAGAAAGCAAAACTACATGTTACAAGTGTGTTTTTACATGTATAGATCGTACAACGACGGTTGTTACGTGGTAAGTATTGGATGGGGATGGATACATAACTTATCGAAAGCGCATTCGAGCAAGCGGGCGCCCACGCTACGAATGTGCGCTTTTTTTTTGTCGTTGGCGAGAACCGAGCAACGACGAGTTATCAAAAACTCTTTTACAGCCCTCTGTACGGAGAACTTTATCGATTCCAGATTTCTGGTCGTGGAGTTTCTTTGCAGGAATATGCGTTTATTGTGCCCATCGTTGTATCGCTCAGATTTCATTTCTATTGTACCTTTTCCATACTTTGTGTCTTTTTGAAGGAAATCATCTTACCTTGGAATATTTATTCTGGAAATGAAATGGAAAAAACAATCATTAAATAATAACATACCTCAGAATACATTGGAAAACTAGGCGTACATATGATTTTCATACCATTTATATCTTATTTCTCATTTTTCTTCGACGCTGTACAAAAGCTTACTAAAAATGTATAATTTTCATAGGTATATACTTTTTTTTTTTTTTATTACCCGTTGACCAGCTGAGCTGCGGCATCTCCTGGAGTACGTTATCAAATTACCTTGGGAAAATTTCATTCCACTCATACTATGAAGAGCAGTAGCAGCGTCTTTTTTTTACTTTCACCAGTTGCAACTATTGAATTACATTTGGTTACGATTCCACGTAGTGTAATTAATTTTAAGCGTAATTAAAACATGTAGCATCCGCGAAGCGTTTTTGCTTTATAACTAGATTCATGAATTCATAACTTTTATGACCTGCATCTACATAGGTTAGACACACCGTATTAAAAATGTTTATTACCTACTACGTATATCGCACGTATATAAGCAGCTAAATTTCACACTTTATCCCTCTCATGAATGTGCATCAAAATGATTTTGAAAAACAAGCGAGCCAGTTGGTATAATTTGCAGGCACCTTTGATATTACGCCAACTTTGGACACGTACAGATTCAAAGTTTGCATCAATTCACAATCAGTGCATTGCGTATAACTTGTTCGGTTAAGCCAATCTGCTTTAACTAACAAACAAACTCTCTCCAAAAAGTATACGATTAGCATTATTTCCAAGTTTTCGAAATTGGCTGTAGTACCGCTTGTTAGTCACATCCAACATAAGTGACGACTTCTAGTTGACAAAGCCTCTTAGTTTTTTCCTCCCATTGTACTTGATCAAAGGATCAGTTACAAACACATAGAAAAAAAGAGAACAAGCAATCAAATGGTGCTTCTTTTACAGGCGATAAATTTTTGAAGCTAACCAGCTTCTAGAGAGAGATTCGCAGTTTCTCAAACTTACTAGGATACATTTATTGCCATGGAACCACGTAATTATGTTCTCAGCCTAAAGGCAAAGACTATCATATTACGACGTTCGAGGCAAGCAAAAAAAATATTGTAGATGCTCAAAAAGTAATTTAACTTTACTGCAAGCGATAGTACTGACTAGTATGAAGACTGTTGCTTTTCACAGTAAATAATTGTTCCTTTACTGCTTTTCGGCTTTCTTACAGACTTTTTTTTTTTAGCATAGTTTTTAGAGTATGTGGGCAGGAAAGTAGAAACAATCGTATTTGATCAGACAGGAGGAAAACAGGTGCAAACTGAAAATTATTATTATCTTATGGAAGCCTTTTTCACAATGCGTAATTAATAACAAACTTGACCAGTTTGTTCAAATAAAATCATTAATACTTCACGCTAAAGTCTTAAAGTCGTCAATCATAAAAAATATAAAAATGTACATAAACAATAAAACGAAAAAATAACACACGTTACGTGTACAATGTAAGTTTTCCACGACTATTTGGATGTATCATGCATGTGAAGTAACTAAGGTAATGTAATTAAGAAATTACGCTACAGTAGTCCAATCAATACAAAAAAGTAAAAATCAGTAGAAATATACTTTTATAGTCAGACAAAATAATAGGCAATATAAATCAAAAATAGAAAAATCCGCATATAGTCAGACATCGCTTCCAACAAAAAATATTCTAATGAGGTATAATCATACTTATATCTAAGTCAAAAGCTGGTCAAGGTATATATTTATTGAATTATTAAACCAGTGGTTATTTTAGCATCTGTGTTGAAATAAATGGAAGATAAGGGGAATGCTTTCAAGAAATTTTTTGTATGCAAAGTTAAATTTTTTTCCTCTTACAATTTTGTCCTAGAGCAACTTATCATTAAAATCAGTAGTATGAAACCAATCTAGTCAGACAATCTAACATAATGATTTTCAAAGTCATAAACATTATTTTTAGGGGTGACCAACTTTTGGTAATGCCTTACACCTTGTTGTGACAAAAAGTATAATTCCTCATAAAGTCAGAAGTAAAAATAATTCAGTGCGCTGACAGTTACTCTGATAGTATATCTTGGTTGTAAGTATTTTCTTTACCTGAACCACAAAAGTATCTCGAGACATTTAAGTAGAAAAATCTGTGTTTAATCAGACATTGTCTAAGAACTTTGAGCCGCAACTCATGTGTAATCATAATCTATGACTATGCACCTGTAAAAACGATTTACAATGGTCAGTAGTTTAAATCTGTTTAGTCAGACAGTGTGAAAACAGTCTCGTTTGATCTTAATAATTTCAAAGTCTCTTGATAATAATATTTCCAAGGAAATTCAAATCTCTTAACCAATCGCTAAATAATCACGAGCCCTCACGTATTACAGAGAGTAAAAAATACCTGGGATGGAACATATAGTCGATTAATAAAATTTCTCAAAATTTATCATCCCCTTACGATCACTCCAAACTCTTACAATCAAAGAGATGTGTTAAATTTTATAAAAAATGGCTTAATTGCATAAAAAAACCTTCTGAATCAATTTATGGCATAACGAAGAAGATATCTCGTATAATTAAAAACTCTAACCCCGTTTATTCTTTAATCGAAAATAAAAACCACGTTCAAGTACTGTACCAACGAGGAAAACTTTAAAAACAAATCCTAAAAGTCTCTCTAAGCTTTTGCCTGATCTAACTGTCTTTCTATATGTGTGTACACGTTTACTCGTGGGCATCTATATGTTTCCGTATACACAACGTACATACATGTGTGCGTTGGTCGAACGAGCTTTTCCGCTCAGTCAACCACGACAATGGCCCAGGAGATTCCAATAACCCGCACTCGATCACCGGCTGGTCACCGACACTTGCCATCGGCAAATGTCAAGCCTCAAACGAAGTGTACCTTTGCCGCGAAATCCCCTCCTCCGCATCTCCCTTACCTCCTTTTTGCTTCTCTCTCGTCCCCCTTTTTTCCACAGCCTGTAGTTACTGTTCCGCAACCTTTGAACATCGATGTTTTAAGAAAAGCTCGGGAAATTGCGCCCAATGAAGCGAACACACAAACCCCACCCCCCACCCATTTTTCTTCATTCCTTATAGCCCAGCCCTTTTCCTCTTTGGCGTCTCAAAAAAAGTTTACGCTTTCGTTTCTCATATGTACACTCGTCTACTTTTTTTTTCTCCAAGTTCCTATAATCGCCCTCGACTCTTTCCCTTTCTTCCCTACGGCTTTCCTTTTCTTTGATGTTTATTTATGTGAATTGTCTTCACTTCCTTTCACTACGGGACCTAGTTTTAAAAGGCATTTTTCTCAAATCTCAAGTTATAAGTGAATCATCGAAAACGTTTTTCTTTAAAACTTAATCTTTGTACGTTTCACACTTTATTTCATTTTTTTTTTTTTTTTTTCTTTTACTTACAAGCCCAATATTTCGAATAATTGTCAAATCAAACGATTAATAAAATTATATGCTCCAGTTGCATTGCAGCAGTAAGATCGCCAGGAGGAGCGAGAACAAAAAGATGCTTAAAGCGCGAAGACGACACAGTAAAAACTTTTTTTTTTATGCACCGCAGGAGAAAGAGGGATAATCATTTGACATTTTTATACAGATACAGCGTCGTTTGATTTTTATTTATTTTTTTTACCACTACTACTACTCTTTGCTCCCAGTTCAGGCAAAACCTTCGTGAACCTAGCAAGCGAAGGTCCTATACTTTTTTAACCCTCCCAAGTGCCAAACCAAGAAAAAAAATTGGAGCAACGATAAAAAAAAACAAAAAAAAAACGAGCATTGAAAAACGAACTCTCTGCTTTCAGACCACCAGCTCAGCCCGGCCGATGCTGGCATGCCTAGGCGCGCTCCTACTTATTCCGCTAGCCGGGTGCCATGGGTCGGACGAGTCCCTGGCATCGGCAAGCCCCTGCGGAGGCCACCTGACCGCTCGCCGTGGCATCATCTCGACGCCAAACTTCCCGGGCCCGTTCGCCGTGCCCATCCACTGCCGCTGGGTCCTCGACGCCTCGGAGCTGTCGGACCAGGCGAAAAACGCTTCCGTCATCGTCTACCTGGCCCAGCTGTTCGCCTATCGGGGCCTCAGCTTCCACGAGTACGCGTACTACGAATCCGAGACGACGAGCTTTGGCGGTGCGTTGCTGCACGACGTCGACGAGGGCAACGTGTTCGAGAGGACGTGGCTGAGGACTTACAGCCCGTACATGGTCGTCGAGTTCCGGCTGGACAGGCTCGAGGGCAACCACGTGAGGGTCCTGGACAAGTTGCTCGACGTCTACGGCTTCAACATGACGTACGAGATGAGCGCCGGCGACGAGGTCAGGCCCAACCCGTGTTCCCTGAAGGAGTGCTCGCTGGCTGGCAATTGCCTCCTAGCCGCGGATCATGCGTAAGTGTCATTTTTTTTTTTTTTTTTTTTTTTTCATCCAACTTGAAGATGTACATGATCTTGAGAGCTGCTGTTGCTACCTTTGACGTTTAAGAGACTGGGCTTATTGCGTTGACGTTGTTTTTCGTGGAAGGGAATGATTGGAGGATGACAGACTCGAGATTGCGTACTTCGAGGATCGTGATTTATCGCGAAAGAATTCCCTTGTCGAGGCTGGGATGTATGTAAGGTGTGCCCGAGCATCCAATCATCTTAGGGAACTGACAAACAACATTTTTTCTCTCTCTCTTTTTTTTTTTTTTTTTTTTTTATTATTTTTACCTCTAGTAAGGTCTCGTGCTTTAAAAGTTTCGTTCTCGCTCTAAAATGTATTTTGTCAGCCAGGAGAAATCTGAAGCTCCTCAGAGACGTGCACCGTAAATGTATTATCATGTTGAGGCAAGTACGGCGAGTATTATCATAATTTATATCCTTAAACTTTTTTAAAATTCACAATCCCATGAGTCTCAACACGTGACAGTCAACATTTCTCCATTTTTACGACTTACTTTGAATACACCCGAAAAATAAATAAATTGTAACAATAATAATCATACTGGTTTAAAACTCCAAGCTTGTGGTTGTGTTGGGAAGTTTGTAAAAATAATTTTCTTGTGACAATCCTTTTGAAAATACATGAAACAACGCTAGGGTACCGTGACTTTTTTCATGGACAAATCGTTCCCCGAGTTTGATTACTGCAATCACATATTATAAGACTTTCGATAAACTCAGAAAAAGCGATGTTATACAAGTTAGAAGTTTGCCAAAGGCCGATAATTTTGTAATGACAAGTTGTTCATTAATGCACAATCTCCTTCGAAAATTTCGCCTCAATTAACGACCAAAAATAACACAGGAGTTGAAATTATAATTACACGGCAACGATAATTCAAGGCAGCCTAGAAAAGAAAAAGAAAAGAAAAAAACCAGCGACCCTTTGTCCCCATACTCGTCCAATAATCGAACATTGCGGAAATTCATAAACATCCACCGACCCACTCCGGCGTACGCGCGCAAAAGCGAACACGGGAATGCTATAATATTCCCTCCCAGACTAAGAGCAGCACCACCAGTAGCGATGCATAATTTCCCAGACCCTCATTATTACGCATTTGGAATCCCTCCTCTCCCCCCCCCCGTTCCAACCCCATTAATCGTCGCGCTTTTTTTTATTCGAGTCTCGGTACGAAACTTCGCTTTCAGCGCCCCCGCGACTCGCGAGCCCTTCAATTATACGCGCCATTGCGGTGGCGGCGGCACCGAAACTGTATATGCACATCGACTGCAATTCCCCGCATATTTTCACGCTTCGCGAGACTGCGGCCTTTAACGCGTTTTGCGGCGAACTTTGCTGGGAGCCGTACAAGTATGGCGCACATGTATATACATGCATGAGAAAGGAAGCCGAGACAGGGTGAGAAAAAAAAATTTTTAAATCAAGAAAAGAGGAAGTAGCTTGAAATGTAAGTCTGAGCTGTGCACAGTCATTACTGTAAGAGTTTCTTTCTTGGAAACTAGATTATACGCGGGTTGATTAAACTCACCTCAACGCACATACATAGCTCTACAAAGAGACACAAATTAACGCGATCGTCCTTTGTTTTTAGCGCATGACCCGGATAGTCTGCTCCGGCGATATTTTGCATTTTGATCCTATGACGGTGAGTGTGTCTCGTGTACAAGTGGACGGCAAAATGACCTGCCAGTATGGCGTATATGTTTCTTTTTCCACTCTCGTCGCTCTCGCGTGCTGCGTCCCTTTTTTCCAACATTACGTTCCCCGATCCCCTTCTCATGATTATTTTTTTGTCTCCCAAGCTTGGAGGCTGCATCGTCTGAAGGAGACCCAAATATACGACTCCACAACAACAGCCTACGGCAGGCGCTCCTTTTCTCCACTGTATAGCAGCGTACTGTCTTTTGTTTTTACCGAGACGCGAAGGAGTGCATTCGCAAATATTTTCTCACTCTCTGAGCGGCCATCCCTCGAGGTGTACGCAAATACTCGTGATTACGTGCGTGTATGTGTATGCGAGTATTTACCATAAAACGAACCATATTCGCACTGTTTATTGATGTTGCTGCGAGGAGACACGTGCATCATCTATGCGTTTGTGAGTCGGTATTGATTTTTTTCCTCGTCTCATTGGCTGATTGTTTGAAGAGCGTTGATGGAAGGCGCGGTAATCTGCGTAATTACGGGCTGTTGAAAGCTCGGTTTCATACATAGGTACACGTTTTTTTTTTTTTTTTTTTTTTTTTTTTTTTTTTTTTTTTTTTTTTTTTTTTTTTTTT